AGTCAATAGTTTAACGACCGTTTTCAGTTAAAGAGCAGTCTTATTTAAGCTCTGGATGGCGAGCTATTAAACGCTCCACGCAGTGCTTGCCTAATTGAATCTTATCCCCCTTGCTCTGTAGTAAGGGCCCTGGGGTCGCTTCTATATAGCAAGCATGCCCCTTACTAACGTCTAGTGCTAATCAATACCCGGCGCCCTAGCGCTAGCGGGCGACAAGTATAGCAGCCGTAATAACTGTCAGTTTAATTATAATTAGTCTCAGGAGGATAGGCGCCACAATTTTAACTAGACAAGATCTAGGAATAATAAATGTAAGAGCTAAGTTGTACGCCTAAATATCGCTAAGTCTAGTATTAAATATAGCTGGATTTAGTACCTTGCCTAGGGTTTAGCGAAAGAATATATTATATCTAAATTTAATAGCGAGCATTAATAATATTGACCTAATAAATAGTAGATCTGTAACTGCTAGACATTTAGCAAGTTTAATAATAGTACTGATTCCTGCTAAGGTTATAATATAAGCAAGCTTAAAAAAATCCTTAGTTGAGTTTATTAGGAAGGAGTAACTGCAAGGAGGACTTGGTGTTACGTCATTAGTAGTAAGAAGATTAGCAAGGGTTTAAAGGTGGACCTCTTTTTACTGCGAGGAGATCAGATAATAATTTAGAGATATTAAATAGATAACACACTTACAGCAGCCACTTTTCTGATGGTCTCAACTATATTATTTAAGTATCTGTTTATGCCCTAACTCCTCAGGTTTATTAAGCCAACATTAAAAAATGATACTTGTAAGTTCTTAAGAAAGTATACTAATTAAAGTTCTTGGATCGCATTTGTAGACACTATATTTAGGATTTGACTGTTTGGAGGTCCCTTTCCTGCGGTAACTCTGATCTAGGAATATAGCATTGCCCTGATAAGGCTCCCTAGAGCAATAAAAGAAACATAAAGGAGAGTATTCATAATCGTTTGAAATTGTATAACTGTATTTGGAGTAATAGAGGGCTTAATTAACAACTCTTGAATATAGTAAGACTATAAGATATATTAGAGACTTTGTACTAGGTCTAAGGCCTTATTTCTAGGTCCTTTATTATTAATAGCAAGGTCCTGAACTTAGGCTTTACAGGTTTTGCTATATTCATTGTAAGGTAACAATAATATATGTTACTGTTAATACAGGGGGTCTGGTTTGAGACCCTGCGGATGATCTTGCAATAATCTCTTAACAGGTTTCAGACAGCACTCACTAACGTGTTCATTGTCACCCAGGTACTCAGTAAGATTTATTTTCTCAGGAAGTACACATTTTGCCTGCTAATATGAAATCTTGTTGTTCCCTATCCTACTTAAGTGTATCTTCTTCCTTTATTCCTTATCTCTCTATTGAACTCCATCTCCTAATAATATCAGAGCTGCTTTGGCCTGACATTCTTGCTCTAAAACATACTCACCTATATTTGTACTATATCATCTCTATCACGGTTTGCTAACAAGTTGACTAGCTTCTCTTTCGTGCTTCATATAGCCTCATCCTATCTTGTGAACAAGTAGACATGAACACCGACACCGATTTCTGCCGCTCGCAGGAGATTCGTAAATTTTTGCAAAGGTGATACTGGCATGTGGACTGCGATTTAATTGGAAACTGATGTTTGGTCATAGAGAGAGGCGGTTGCCTGGTTGATTTAGTAAGGATAAGGAATATTAAGTCAATATCTTAGAAAAGAAACAGGTTTCATTAGTTAGTTAAAAGGTTATTGTGGTATTTCTTTAATTAATAATAAGTTAGAATTTAAGGTATATTAAAAGACATTAATATGTTTTTTACTGTTTGTATTTACTAATAAATGATATTAAGATACTTAGATTAGAAATTCTAGTTAATTCATTTAGCGATTAATTATTATATAATTATATTAAGAAATATCAAATTTTTATATCATGACTTAAATAAACTTTAAAATAAGATGTCAACCTACTATATAGAGTATATAGAGAAGCAAGTTAATTAATAGCTACAGGGGTAGAGAGCATAGATCTATGTATAATTGGCTATACTGTACAGCAAAATTAAAAGCGAAATTGTGTTAGAAACCGACTAATTAGAAGTAATAGAAACGCAGGGATTACGTATATTAAACGCGGCTAATTAGCCCTCTTAGAAGGTTAACATAAGACTATTATAATAATGTTTTATATTACTTATAAGTTTTAATGTTATTTAACTTTATATCTATTAATCTAGTGACGCCTTAATTCTGAAGTTGTGTCTGTCTTTTAAATCATATTATTATTACAAGCACTATTATCTTATGTGATCAAAAGAGTTCTCAGACTTAATAATTCAGAACTAAAAGGGTCGAAAATAGATTTTGATTGAACCTCAAGAGACTAGTCCCTTAGTGTTGCCTCTCTCGCTATTATCTTTATATCTAGATTAAGTAAATTTTGAGAATTTCTTATTAAGCTTCTATTTTGATTGTTCTTTCTTGTCATTCTTTTTGTTATTAATGAAATTTTCAAGTATAAATTAGGGTGCCGCTTTATATATAATTAATTTATAAGGGTCTATTTACGGTCCCTCTTTCTCAAAAATTTAGCGCTTACCATCTTTATATCATTCAGTCTTCGTATTACTTCAGTCTCGTTTAGCTCAAGTGGTTCTGCAGAACACACTCTTGCTTAAAGAAATCTGTAATAAGTTATAAAGTCGAAATGATGCTAGAATCGTCAAGGATATTTCGTTATTCATTACAGTAAATCTGACAACTTAACGTCTTTAGTGAGCGTGATATCTAAGTGGTCCTTACTCGCACTTAGTGAGCTTGTAACACACAACATAATATTTTTATATTATTAGGGACTATTTTTGAGCCTAGAAAAATTAGGTGCCTTAAAAAGTGTTAGGGTTTATTTCTAGGACATTTAAAAACGAGAACAATATAATAACATATAAATATACGATTATTTTCTAATTAATCTTAAATATAATATAAGAACCTATTAACTATATATATTATAGCTTTAAAAAGATAGTTTAAACGCATATAATTATATTCTAAATTAACAAGTAAGTTAAGTCAAGAGTATAAAGTTTTATATTAATAAGAAGCAGATATAATATTCTTTTTAGAGGACGAAGGGTCTTTACTTATAGATCTTTTAAAACTCTTAATAATAATAGAATCACGAGTATTATAATTGCTATTATTGTGGTTATTATTATAATTCTTGTTTTATATATATATATACGTTAAGAGAGGCGTCATTATAAGGTGTTATAGACTAGAGATTAAATAAGTAAGAATACTAATTTAAATATAATATTAGTATAGTCTAGTATTATTTATCTAAAGATCAAATATTAATATAGTTTTAGTATTATACTATATTTCTTAATTATAATAACTCTATTAATATATATAAATTATAATAACTAGATTAATTTATTATAAATAATAATATGTAGGAAAACTTATGTAGCAGGCTCTCTTCGCATTTTCTAGGTTATTAATTGCCAACACAGTAACAAATTCTATTACTATGTTTGAATTATTATAGATGTTGCGGGACCGGTTATTACTATCATGTCGTTAAAGAGACTGACTTCGTATAGCTCTTAAATAAGGATACACATTGACTTACGAGGTGGGTTAAGGGGATCGAGATAGGAAAGGAGCTGAAAGGGAAGGAAAGGTGAAACAATTAGGATCCTTGACGAAACCTCTTTAAGAATCAATATTCAGTCTTGTTTCACGATTATTGTAGCATCAATAGGCCTTTGCAGGTTGTTCTTAAACGCATTCTTAATGCTAGACTTATTAGGAATGCGTTCATCATAAAAAAGCACATCTAGTCTAAGGAAATTTATAGAACATAATCGCTTATTATCACTTCCTCGTTCTTTATTTATTTCTTCGCACGTTGGACATGCCTTCAGAACCCATTGCGAAAACGACTGCGGTGTGACTTTTATTAAATGTTGAGGGTTTATATGACATCTCATGATGTCTAGGCGGTCATGAAGCCAAATAGTCTTTTCAGCTAAGAAAGAAAGTCTAACAGTGCGATAATTAATATTTTGAGTATAACGCGGTCAGACTTCGCCAGATTCTTTATTAAAGTTTTAAATGACGTAAATAGTCTGACGCTGATTCGAATATTTCAACATTATGTTATGTAATTGCTTAGTTGCTTCTAAGTTGAAGTATGTTAATAAACAAAATATATTTTTATTAGACATTTTTGTTTCAGAACAGCTTCGAAAGTCGTTAATTAAAGACAATAAATTAAAGTATTAAGCTTCTTCTTTAATAGCTTGATTATAATAAGTCTTTAATAAAAATAAACAAAGTGATTATTATTCGTTTCTATTGAACTGTAATCATGTAATTTAATTGGCTGTATTGTACAGCAAAATTCACGTGACTCACAGCGTCGCCACAATGCCACTAGATTTCAAATCCAGTGCTGTTCTACGCATTTTTTTTTACAAATTTGCAATGCTTTGAAATACGTACTCTTTTAAATAGTTTCTGTTACTTTGTACGGCTTACAAATTGCGCAGATTTTGCTTTAGAATGCTACATTGCTAATAATAACAGCAATTGGCGCAGCAAGGAATTAGCTGCCTTTCTAAGCGTTGGTTCTGTGTATTTAAACGCTCTGAATTCCACTTATTAGATAGAACAACTTGCTATTTGACGTTATTCCACTAATTAGTAAGTAACGTTTATCAGTTTCTTTTTACGTCTAGGCTCTAGGTCTTCTTTCTTATTAATTTCCGCATTTAATACTACGTTAGTTTAATTAGTAAAATTGTTATACTTTTGTCTCAGGATCAGGTATAATGTATTCTTACCGTCTGTAATAGCGTTCTTAAAACATGTTTAAATCTTTATTAGTCGCCCGTTCTTGTCGCATATATTTATCTTTTTCCTTATATACTTCATTACAACTCGCTTTAATTTCCTTGTGTCAAAAGGATCAACCTAAAGGCTTCCTATTGATCTTGTATTTCCTCGCCCTTTATCTACGAAGTGTATTTCGATCTTTTGCGGCGTCATTGTTTTTGGGTTTGAAGCAAAAGTCAAGGTGGTTACACCTTGAACTTGCTCTGTGTGACGTTCAACGTAGGGCATAGCAGTTGAGTCGTGACTTTCGATCGTTCTCTGTGTCACTGATTCCGCGAGTTTGTTGAAGTTGATTTGGGTAACTCGCTTTCGGTCCTTATGCCGCTTACCTATTCCTATCGGCCTACGTTTTGATTTGCTTGCTTTCTCTCCTTCCATTGCGCGTCTCTTCTGTTCTTCCCTTGCAGGCCTTTCTTGTTCTTCGCGTGCGAGCCTTTCTCGCTTGAGCCTCTCTTGTTCTGCGAGCCTCTCTTGTTCTTCCTGTGCGAGCTTCTCTTGTGCGAGCCTCTCTTGTTCTTCTCGTGCGAGCCTCTCCTGTTCTTCCCGTGTGAGCCTCTCCTGTTCTTCCCGTGTGAGCCTCTCCTGTTCTTCTCGTGCGAGCCTCTCCTGTTCTTCCCGTGTGAGCCTCTCCTGTTCTTCTCGTGCGAGCCTCTCCTGTTCTTCTCGTGCGAGCCTCTCCTGTTCTTCCCGTGCGAGCCTCTCTTGTTCTTCCCGTGCGAGCTTCTCTTGTGCGAGCCTCTCTTGTTCTTCCCGTGCGAGCTTCTCTTGTGCGAGCCTCTCTTGTTCTTCCCGTGCGAGCTTCTCTTGTGCGAGCCTCTCTTGTTCTTCCCGTGCGAGCTTCTCTTGTGCGAGCCTCTCTTGTTCTTCCCGTGCGAGCTTCTCTTGTGCGAGCCTCTCTTGTTCTTCCCGTGCGAGCTTCTCTTGTGCGAGCCTCTCTTGTTCTTCCCGTGCGAGCTTCTCTTGTGCGAGCCTCTCTTGTTCTTCCCGTGCGAGCTTCTCTTGTGCGAGCCTCTCTTGTTCTTCCCGTGCGAGCTTCTCTTGTGCGAGCCTCTCTTGTTCTTCCCGTGCGAGCTTCTCTTGTGCGAGCCTCTCTTGTTCTTCCCGTGCGAGCTTCTCTTGTGCGAGCCTCTCTTGTTCTTCCCGTGCGAGCTTCTCTTGTGCGAGCCTCTCTTGTTCTTCCCGTGCGAGCCTCTCTTGTGCGAGCCTCTCTTGTGCGAGCCTCTCCTGTGCGAGCCTCTCCTGTGCGAGCCTCTCCTGTGCGAGTCTCTCCTGTTCTTTCCGTGTAAGTCTCTCCTGTGTAAGCCTCTCTTGTTCTTCTCGTGCAAGCCTCTCCTGTTCTTCCCGTGCGAGCCTCTCTTGTTCTTCCTGTGCGAGCCTCTCCTGTGCAAGTCTCTCCTGTGCAAGCCTCTCCTGTACAAGCCTCTCCTGTACAAGCCTCTCCTGTACAAGCCTCTCCTGTGCAAGCCTCTCCTGTTCTTCTCGTGCAAGCCTCTCCTGTTCTTCCTGTGCGAGTCTCTCATGTTCTTCCCGTACGAGCCTCTCTTGTTCTTCCTGTGCGAGCCTCTCATGTTCTTCCCGTACGAGCCTCTCCTGTTCTTCCCGTGCGAGCCTCTTTTGTTCTTCCTGTGCGAGCCTTTCCTGTGCGAGCCTTTCCTGTGCGAGCCTCTCCTGTGCAAGCCTCTCCTATGCAAGCCTCTCCCGCTCGAGCCTCTCCTGCTCTTGTCTTTGTTGCTCCTGTCTCTCCCGATCTTGTCTCTCCTGCTCAGCAAACCTCTCTTGCTCTTCCCTTGCAAGTCTTTCCCGCCTCTCATGCTCAGCGCGATCAGGCTTACTAAAGAAGACAAAATATACGGATCTGCGAATAAAAAAAGACGTTAGTGTATTACGCTGTTCCTTATTAGTGCTGTGTAACTTGTCTAGAAATAGCGATGATTAGTCTGTTTTATAAACCCCTGTTTCTGAAATCTCTTTTCTTCTAGGTGTTCTCTGAGAGCTATCAACATTGATCACATGTTCTTTTACTACTTTCTTAACTGTACAGAAAAATCTAATTATTTGCTTTACAAAGTGTGTAAAGGCGACGTGATTATATATGTAATAATCTGGATCCTAAGCCTTTAAGAGGGCTTTATAAATAATCTTCTTATTAACGAAACATTAAATTAAGTAGTAGATCTGTTTAGACTTAAATCTTAAATAGTAAACAAGAGAAGCAAACTTATATAGAATATATTTATTTAGCTTACTTCTTAACTTTATTAATAAATTGTCTTCTTTTTTTTAAGAGGGCATTTTAAGATAATTATATATGGCACTTATTTATATTTATTAATATTTTAGTTTAACTTAATTTGACTTGCTCTCTAATATTAATATAAACTTGGATTCAGACTACTAAATAAGACATTAATTAATTTCCTAATTAACGTTAAAGAAGATCTCTTTTAAGGCAGATGATACTATTTCACTAGGCGACAATTTCATCAAGGTTTTTACATAGTTAGCCGGACCTTATAAGTAATTAACATCTGTAAAGAAGCTTAAAAAAGACAGAATTAAATAGTCAGTAAAGGCAAATAGTATTTCTATTTATATAACTTTACGTTCTTAGTTAATAAAGGTGCTGAAAATCTTGTCACTACTTAACTGACTATATAGAGATACATGATCTAACATACATGCTCTAAGGGTCTTTGTTTAAGAGCTTTTACATTAGCCTAATTCATCTTTAATATCGCTTACTTATCTTTATAAAAGATCTTAATTCAAAATCCTCTAATATTGTCGTTAAGGTAATATAATATTTCCTGTATAATTAGTATATCAAAGCACTTATTAAGATAGCTCTTACCTTATGATATTTTATAGCAAATATTTTATGCATTAAACCTAAGTACATTCCTTCTTCAAGCCTAAGAACATTCAACTAGATATCGAAAGCTGCTCTAAAATCGTTATGCCGGATGATTTGTTTCATGTTATTAAACTTATAACTAGATATCCTGTACAAAAGAGCTTATTATCGCCTCTTAAAATATAAGTTCTTTTCACCTTTATATCCTTAATATTCTCGGATTTTGCGATATATTTCGTTATTGTCTAGTTTCTTTTTACATGAATATTCTTTGATCAAGGTAGTCTTGAGGTTGTTATTAAGATCTAACATAATTTAAGGAAATGAATATCTATGTAAGTCTAAAAGGGTAGTCTTACTTAAAAGATATAGATTCATAGTTCAACGTTAGCTTTTTAAAGAGAGAACATCTTTCGCGACGAGAACTTAATGTCGTCTACGAAAACAGCTCAAATGAAAATCAGTTAGAAAATAAGATCTAATAAAGGGACCCGAATATTTACTACGGGAACCCGAATCTCTTAGTACATTATACCTAATTAGGCTTAGCTTCACACAACCAGTGTATGATGTGGCTCTGCCTCTGCCTCTATCAACTGCCTACGCCTCTGTCAACTGCCTCTGCCTCTGCCTACGCCTCTGCCTCTGGCCCTGCCCCTGTCTGTGCTTCTGCCTCTGCCTGTACCTGTGGCACTATCAACTGCCTCTGAGCGCCTCTTAGTAGGTTTTGATACTCGCCCTGATTGTGTTGTTTTGCCTTTTTTGGAGGGAGACTCTCGCGCTGCCAGGTCAATTGATACACCCTTTCTTAGAGTCACTGGCCTGTCTCTCTTTCTTTTCATCCCCGGCCTCGCTGCCCTCGTCATTCCAGCGAATTCAGGCATCTCTGACCAGAGGGGGGGCAGTGCCACCTGAATCGATTAATCGTTAGCGCTCAATCTCTATAATTGCTTCTTCCGCAGGATCATCAACAAGAACAGAAGAAGGAGCATCCTCTAAATCTAATTAAGGCAGAGGTGGTTTATAAGCTCATATTTCAGCTAATACAGCTTCTATCTCCTAAGAGAACTAATATGATTAAGGAGAAGGAGGGCAGAGGAAAGAAGGTAATCTTTAATATTAACGTTTATTTTCTGCTAATATTCTAGCGTCAACTATCTTAAAATAGGATAAATATTAACATATTAATGTCTTTAGAATATTCTTTAACTCTTTTAGTCGCCCCTTTCAAGCTAGAACTAGTGGATTTTGCAGAAGATAAATTAGAGAAGGTAAAAAAGACGTAAATAAAGAAGATAAAGAAGGCGGAAAAGCTAAAGACGGCACAGAAGACAGAGAAAATAAAGAGAATAGCGAAGGAGGCAAAGAATACTATTAAAATTAGTAAATATCACCTAAGATTAGTTTTCTGCTCTCTTCTATCATTCAGCTAATCTCATATCTATATAATAAGCCTATAAAAGATCGAAATTAGCTAGAACAAGATTATTAAAGATCTTAATTAAGCTCTTTCTGTTTTAAAATCTCTTATAAGGCCACAGAAGTAACAAGCTATTAAATTTCATTATAAAAGCTACCACAATAAGCCCAAAAAAGTCTCTATTTTAATTGCTTAAAGGCACTCTCTTGCTTATTAATCTGATATTTAAAAAAAAGAGCAACTGCTTTATAGACTTTTTTAAGATCTCCTATATTAGTAAGAAGTTATTATTTAAAGCTACTATATAAGCCTTCTACTTAAGAGGTTACTCAAGTATTAAAATATAGCTGCTAATTAGTTTAGGCATAAATAATACGTTTCTTATAAGATAACTATTAATCTTGTAAGTAATAGATAACAAAAGAAAATTACTAATATTTTCTACAGAAATCATCTTAATTAGTTTTAAAAATAATAGGTGTTTGACTTTAAACAATCTTATGCCAGTTAGTAAGAAATTCATTCTACATCTCATTAGTAAAGGCTATTATTTAGTTCTCTATTACGAAGAGAAAGACAGGCCTATAATTAGAAAGAATATTCTTTGAAACATGCTATAAGTAAAGAAGATACTAAGTAGATAGAAATTCAGCTTTAATAGCACTAATAAGAGCTGAATTATAGTCAGTAACAATAGTTATAAGTGCTATAAGCTAGATATATTAATAGAGCTGTTAAAGTTAATATAAAACCCACTAAAAATCCTTGAAAGTCTCTCTTATAAGAAAGGCTATCCTAATAATAAAGAATCAATCAATTAAGATCCTTCTAATAATAGTAAAGAGAGGTATATTAAACCTATTAGTATTATAAATACAGTCTATTAATATAATCTATAAGAATCTCTTAAATAAATCAATTAATTTTTAATATATAAAAAAGTAATATCTAATAGCGTTTAAATCATCTATTTAATATTAATAGTATTAGCTTTCGTCTTATAAGTTATTAATTAGCACTTAAATTGTTATATAAGAGCCTTACTTAAAAGCTTAATAATAAGCTTAAGCATTATTAATATTAGTTAAAAGAATAAAGTAGTTTTTAACATCAAAACTCAAAAGTAAAGATGTATAAGTCTGTCTAAGTATAATGCTAGCGTCATACTGTCTCTCAATTTCTTTGCGACAAAAGAAATCTAATTAACGATATGTAAGATAAGCAACTACTGTAGTAGCCAAATAGTTGTGATCTTTATTACAGAGCTCAGCCCTCTAACAATTCTCCTCTTCTAAATAAAGCTGTATTAAAAAGGAACAGTCGATAAGCCTTGAGTCTTTAATTCTCTGATTTTTTTCGTCTACAGTAATCCTCCTGTCTCTGGTTTTGCAGCCCCTATCGCATTTCAAATCAACTCTTTTAATCATTCCTTTATATGCGTTTGACCTCCTTTTGACGATGGCATAGCCTTCCGCGGCCGCAAAGCTGTTTAAGGCTTTGAGAGCATCATCGATAGATGCGTAGAACGCAGGCAGGGGAGGGGCAGCGAGAGACAGCGTCATGGTAGAGAGTGAGGCAGAGGCAGAGGCAGAGATAGAGATAGAGATAGAGATAGAGATAGAGATAGAGACAGAGACAGAGGCAGAGGCAGAGGCAGAGGCAGAGGCGTAAAATCAACATGGCCTGTACAGCTCGTTTCTGCATTAACAACCTCATACACTGGTTGTGTGAAGCTAAGCCTAACTAGGTATAACGTGCCAAGAGATTCGGGTCCCCGTAGTAAATATTCGGGTCCCTTTATTAGATCCCTAGAAAATCAAGCTCGCGTTGCCTGTCACGTGCTGTCAGTAACTGCTCCGGAGAAACGCCGGAGCGCGTCAGCGCGTCATTAAGCTGGCACTGTTTAATGACTGCGGGAATATAATTGAAAACTTTCTAATCACGACAGACTTTCTCCTTCCGGAATAATTTTGTGAGTCTCTCAGTATTCTTTTCGTCCTCTTCCCTCACCTTTTTAAACGGAAAATTCAACATCTCGATCTTGACGCTGACCGTGCCTCTGAACTTAGCGCTAAGTTCTGCTGCGAGCCTTCACTCTTGTTCAACAAATCGTTATCGCGACATCTTAAAGTGATTATTCGAAATACGCAACGCTCCTAAGAGAGTACTTCTTTCTAAACTTAATTTTGCACATCTATCTAACTAGTATCTGCGGCTTAAAATAATATCTAAGTATCTATTTATAAGACTCTTTTATAACGAAATTTCCTTTAATCAAACTTTAAGATAGCTAAATCCCTCCTTTTTAATCTTTAATTATTAGCTAACTATCTAGAATTAAACTTCTTACTCTCACACATTACAGAGGATGAGTTCTATGTCTAAAAAGTACAAAATGTAAATTAATTTTAATTGATTAGGACTTAATTCACGTCTTAAGAGCAGCGTTTTAAGTAAAGCTATAAAAGGCCTTACAAGAGAAGGATATAACACTAGTAACCGCATAAATACTAAATAATATGCTACAAAGACTAAAGAGAAAAGTATATCTTTAGAGCGGAATAAGGTAAAGAATTCCGTTAGCTTAAAGCCTCTTAGACTTTCTAAAGTTGTCTAATCTAGCATTAAGGCACATGAGTATTTAAAAACAATATATATTTCTCTGTAGTACACACATAAAAAATCCTATAATATCTGACTAGGCACTAATAATATATTTATTATAGTGGTCAAGCACAAAGACGCAGAGTCAGGCACCTTAATACAGAAAGATCCTCTCTTAGACCTTGCCTTAGTAAGAAGTTTTGTAAGACCTAGCGTTAAGGACAAGCTTTATAAGTTCTAACAAATTTAGCACACTAGTATTATCTCCCCTCTTAAAGTTTTTAGGTTAGATAAGACTTGCTATATTATTTTTGAGTATATAGTGTATTCTCTGTACTATGTTACTAGTATTCCTTATCTTAATAAAATTTAATTAACTATAATAATTAAATAAGTAAGACTCTTTAGAATAAATAGCTCTTAGTATATTACTAACTATAATAGATTCTTAATAAGCTTATATACCTTGTATTAGAAGGTTTAAAATATAGTTCGTTAACTTACTTAAATATATTTATTTATTTATATAGTAATATGAAAATTAGTAAGGCATTACCTTGTTATCTAATTACTTTATTAAGTATAAATAGCAAGCTAAGAAAGTTATAAGTTACGCTTATATAATAGTACCGGATTTCGATATCTTAGCACGCTTAGCATTATTATTATAAAACTAATATAGGGCTAGTCAAAAGAGGACAGAACTATTAGTGTTAATAATATAGATTACTAGCCTCTTGACTCTAACATTATTAGCTTCTTCTTAATAATAAAGTTTGTTACTTTAGTAGTTAAGTTAACAAAGATATATTAAGTATTAATTTATTCTGCGTAATCTAATACTCTCTAGCATTTATTATTATGCCTCTCTTAGCGGAAAGGAATGCTTAAAGGGCTGGTATCTTTTGTCTTTATTAATACCTGCGTAGGCTATAAGTATCTATTAAAGTAAGTAAGATTCCTTAAAGACGTAGAAGTTTTAGTATTTCTTTTAATAGGTCAGAATTTAGGAACACTCTCTGAAGTGCTAATATAATTGCTATTTATTATTATTAATAACTTATAATGTTTACATATCTCTACATCTGCTAAAATTGCTACAAAGCAACCTTATTTCTATATATAAAGATTTATTTCGCTCTTTATTATAGAGATTTATTTTGTTCTTTATGCGTAAAGGTTCGTAGATCTAGGCCCTCTTCTATTCTTACTCTAGTCCTAAGGTCCCAGATCTAGGTCTTCTTCTATTCTTAAACTAAAACTTATATTTGTTATCACAACTTCCCTTGGTTTTTCTTTAAGGTCTGTTGCTTATACTATCCTTCTTTTTATACTAATTGTCCTGTTATAGAAATTACTTAGGTATATGCTCTAGCCGTTAGCAGCATCTTTTTCTACCTTTTTCTCTTTAGAATCTATTACTATATTAGGTCATTCCTAAAGACTATAAATCTTTATATATCTTAATATCTTATTTATCCGTAACTTATTTACTGCTACTAATTCCTAGGTCTATAAAGCTAGGCTAGTGTACTATTATAGCTATCTTATATTAGTATTAACATGTTTTGCACTAGCTTTAATGCTTTATCTATTTATATAGCTAGTTTACAAGCCACGGATCTCTCTCTAATTAATCTGATACCAGCTTTCGCCGGTCCTCACCTAAGCTTTCTAGCAGATATACTCAGACTTTCCTTGACTACTTATTGCTAAGTCCACCGTTTATTTAGGCTAACGTCTTGTTTCCTTCTTAGCTTTTACATCTTTACAATTATAGCCAGCCGAATATCCTTCTCTTTAGACCAAGCGGAAAATCTCTGGGGACTTATTGTAAGTACTCGACCTCCCTTTCTTCCCTCGAAACTTGCTCGTTACTCACTATAACTTACTATCAAGAGGGGTTTTCATCTATCTGCCTGCTTCTCCTTCTCTCTTACCCTTTCCTCCGGAAACCATCCTACAAGGTATTTCTCCGCGCACACTAATCACTAGCAGTCCTTTCCGCGTGTTCGATCTGGCGATACTTGGGATTGAAAACATGACGAACTGTGCTGACTAATCAATAGATCAGTATGGAAATAGTAAGTTGTTCTATCTAATTTAGTGTGAGGAGCGCGCATTTATACGTACAAAGTTGCTATATCAAGCGAAATAGCGTGAAACGCAGATACCAAAAATACATGCGTGGCTGATGCAAAACGCGTATTAAATCTGTAACAAAACGCTAGTGACACACGTAGCAAAATAGTACAAACTGTATTTTTGAGTTTAACACACCCCCCGAGGGTCATTGCGTGCCGGAATGAGCCTGGTATGAAGCTCACGATACTGCTAAATATCGCCTAAATAGGGATAGCGCAGAGTTTTGATATCCGGCCCTGTTTCTGTCTGCTGCGGCGCCTGCGCCTGCTGTTGCTCTGCCGCCAAACGAGTCGATATATCGACTAGATTGAGCTGTTCGACGAATGCTGCGTGCTTCTGCGCAGGGAGTGGCTTTGTGAGACCGTCGGCAGGCATTTCTGCGGTTGGTATCCACTCTAGGTCGATTTTGCCGCTCTGTATCTCCTGGCGCAGCCAGTGGCGGTGGATATCGACGTGCCGCAGCTTCGAATCGAGTTTAACAGCATTCTTCGTCAAGATACGTATAGTTTGCACGTTATCGCAGTGGATCTTGACGTGCTGATTCGTAACGAAGCGAATAGAGTCGAAGAATCTGCGCCACCAAATTACCTCTCTACCGGCTGTGGATAGAGATAACAGCTCCGCCTCAGTGCTAGAAGTAGTGACCGTTTTCTGCTTGCTAGCGCGCCAATCTATAGCTCCTCCGTATAGCTGGAATAGGTATCCGTCAGAGCTGTGCCGAGTAGCAGGATCATCTGCGAATGCTGCGTCACTAGCACAGTTGAATACTTGCGAGCTATTTCTGCCTGAATATTCGATTGCCAGCGTGCGCGTGCCACAGAGATAGCGAATAACTCGATTTGCTGCGGCTATGTGAGCCGCGCTGGGATTCTTCAAAACTTGCGCTAATTTCGATACTGCGTGCGCTATATAATTTAGCACACTAGTATTATCTCCCCTCTTAAAGCCAGAATTTGCTGTGCGGTCGCTTTTTCGTCGCTTAATTCGGCTATTAGGGCATCGTCAGTCGGCAATGGCGTCTTTGGATGCTTGCTGTCAGCGTTAACGTTGAATTTGGCGGCTACTTTCGAGATATAGGAGTCCTGGCAAAGCCATAGCTTGCGCGTGGCGCGCTCTCTATCGACTCGAATCCCTAGAAACCACTTTAGCTCTCCAAGAGATCTCATTTCGAAGCGTTGGAGGAGGCGGCGTTCGAACTCCTTGAATTTCTGCTTATACTTTGGTTTGTAAAGAATAGCGATATCGTCAACGTAGAAGAACAGAAGGAGGCAGTCGCTGGCGAACAAGCAGTTGACGCCAGGGATCGAATGAAGCCCTAAATCCTCAAGAGCAGCAGTAAAATCTCTATACCAAAGGAGAGGAGATTGTTTTAAGCCGTACAATGCGCGTAGAAGCAACCAGCTCTTGTTTGAGCGCTCGTAACCCTCAGGGGGTACGCAGAATATCTGCTCGTCGAGTTTGCTGTTGACGAACGCGTTAACAGCGTCATATTGGCGAATTTCGAGGTCAAACGCCGCGGCTATAGCCATTAGCGCTCTAAAGGTGCGTGCTGTGAGCGTTGCAGCGTACGTATCTTGCTCAGTAGATTGCAAGTCGCCTCGTACGCATAACCTAGCTTTGAATTTCGTGAGATAGCTGTCAGTATCAAATTTGTACTTAAATACTCACAGCAGGGGCAGAGGCGTAGCTGTTATAGCCTCATTTTCGACCTATTTGTACGTATCTCTGTTCGCCAGCTCTTGAATTTCTCTATCCGTAGCTTCCTTGAATTCTGCCGCGAATTTGTGCTTAGTCAGCTGGCGCCACGTGCGCG